CTCTCTCTCCGTGTGCTGGATCCAGCGGCAGGTTCACGCGAATGAGTATGCGTACGGAGCGCAGTGCGGTCGATGACAGACAGCAAAGATATGTACGTACGCGCGGCAGAGCCAGCCGGTAGGACGGAGTATCGGTCCCGACGAGGCCACGGGGATTTTGCATTGGGTTGGTGTCCCAAATGATTGGGAGAGAGAGCCCAGAGCCGGGCGAGGCGAGGCGAGGCGCGGCCGGGCCACCAACCCCCACGCTGTCCCGTGCGTACAGTGCGTGAACCATGCATGCGCCCGCGGCGGAGAGCGATGCCGAGCGGTGCAGGGACGGGGACGGGGGAGCCGGTGTCCGGCGTGGACGGCCTGAGTCCGGAGGCCCGGAGGTAAACGGTAAAGGCAAACGTGACGCGACGCCGCCCGCGCCCTGTCCGGTCACCGAGCGGAAGGGCATTAATAAATCGGCTGGTAGAGCGGTGGGACGACGCCACCGATCGGTCGGCCTCGTTGGGCGAGGGCGACGCCGGCACGCGGCCGGTTGGGGACACGCACTCGCAGTCGCAGGAGTAACTACCTGCGTGCGCCGGGGGCCACCCACGGCTTGAGTGAGCATAGGCACACAGACACAGTCGCTGATCGTCTGATCCAGTCGGGCGCCAAGCTGGGATAGCACACTTCTTTGCACCGGTCATTTTCGTTGCCACGTGGCTGTTCCAGACTCCAGAGCCTTTGCCTCTGCCCGGCTTCCGTCGCGAAGAGAGCTTTTAGCATGTGGGGTATGGACTATGGCAGGCTGTCAAACGCATCCATCACTGGAGCCCGCGAAGAGGGCTACGCATTCTGAGCTGCCGATCAAGTGAAGCGACGGGAGGTCAGGTCAGATCGTGTCAGCGGTGACGATTGACCTCGAGTAGTAGTTCTAGAACCAGAACCAGAACTAGGAGTACTGTGGATAAATCTTTAAAACAAGCAAGGAAGGGGTGAATACAATGTACGCCAGGACCCGGCCATGTGCTGCTCTCGGGCCTCTGCTCCCTGCAGCTACTCAACTTTCGTTCGTTTCATTTCAGCCTTATCAGCTAACCAATAGTATTTTTCTCTTACAACAAATCAGTATCGGTCAGATTTATCAACATAGAAACCAACCAGCGAACGACTGATGATGTGGGGCATGCGTGGAAGTAGGAACAGTCTTACTGATGATACTCCGTTACTCGATCGATCCCAGCACAGAACAGAAGGATGCATTATGTCAAACAGTCACGAAACCACTGAAACAGGAAGGAAAGGCTTGACGGATCGACACGGCATCGAAGTAACTCGTTCTACAGTTTCGGACGTAGCAAGACTTGCAGAAAGCCCTGTGAAATGAGAGTCTGAGTGAGAGGCAGGGAGAGCAGGCGAGGGCCGATGCTGAACATGTCATGATGGACGACAATGCTGCCTTGATGGACGGCAGCAGCAAAACTCTTCAAGCCATGGCCCACCCGTGGGCTGTGGGCCGTGTGACCGGCCCAACAACGGGTTGCACTGTAACCGAAAGACAGTTTTCCTTTTGACACCAACCGGAAGACAATTGATCAGCAGATCCCACGATTGGCCCAAACGAAACAAATTTCAAATCAACCTGCTTCCTAGATTCTGCCCTCTGTTTTACACACGTACGACTTCAAGTATTAACACACAAGTGTTACGAAGGATACGGTAGACATGTGAAACAAGCGTAGCAAAAGGTTTCAGAATAACTTGAAATAGTGGCAAGGTCATCTGGATAGTAAATATAGTAGCGCTTTGCAGCAACGTTGCTGATCTACATTCCATTGTTTTCCGGTGCTCCAGAGCAAGGCAAACAGAAGTGCTAAAGTCAATTATCCTGTACTTCAAATGGATTTCGCCAAAAAAAAAAAAAAATGGCTGGAAGGCCAGGGAGCCAGTAACCCAGTTCCATGGCCTCCGCAACTCTACAAAGTTGGTAGTTTCAAGTGATAATGGCATCACCAAAAGATCACAGATCCCCAACTTGTAACATTATGCCCAGGGCAAGCTCAGATGCACACCTAATAGTCTGGTACTACTATATGGGTAATACTAGCTCAAGAGACAGGATACATCCAATGCTTGCCACAGCAAAGCTATTAATATTAATATACATAATATAAGTCATCTAAAACAATAAGGCATCGCAAGAGAAATCATTTCAGATAGTAAAAATGACATTAACCTGAATGACAGAGAAGATGTGGTAAACAAAAATCCGTAGGAAAGGACAAATTGGCAACACCATCATACCAGCAAGATCATGCATATATACTGGCATATACATGTCCAGTCGTCCACAACAACTCTGACAATCATAACCAATAATAATGATGTAACAGTGTTTGCAGAATGTACTCAACCCCATAGCAGAACAGCATAGCGTTGGCACAGTTGCTACGGTAAGAGTCCAAGAAACGCAAACACAAATTGGAGAACCAATCACAAACAAAATTATAGAGCCAACCAGATACAATCCGCATCAAAAGCTAGTTCAAAATGTTCACATTGAAGTTATTAGAGAAGGGATTTACTTTTTCCAATTTCTAAGATTATCAAAACCAGTCAGGGATAAGGATCAGTTTATAATTCATATCAATTCCACATGCAACGGATGGTAGTACATTTTTCCTTAGATTGTTGACTAGTAGTTTCGTATCCGGTTTATTCACCGGATGCAACAACAGCAACAAAGCCTTGTAGTCCCAAGCAAGTTGGGTTAAGCTAGAGTCGAAATCCAACAAGAGCCGCCAACAAAAAGGGAAAAGAAATAGAAATAGAAAAAGGAAAATAAATATACAAACTATGTATAATCGATAAACTTCTTAGTTTCAAAATTACTCATTGAGCTGGACCGGTGACTCGTTTCAAAATTTGCTCTAATTGAACTTGTTTTTCTTTTTAAATAAAAATAACTTGATTTTGAATTACTTTCGACTTTGGCTTGGCTCATTAAGCTCGGTATGAAGTCGGGTCTCAAACAATTCAGGATACTATGATAAATAAAGATTATGTCAATTTTGAACAAAACTTGAAAAAAAAAAGTTCAGTTGGTTTCTATCCACTCCTACTTCTTACACACAAAGTAAGTAGTCCTTTGACTTTTGAAAAATTCCATTGCAGCTGTTGTATTGATTCATATTCAAGTAATAAGTATCAAGTTGCCCCAGTGCATTCCATCAAATTCACAGAGTAAAATCGGATAGCAGAAACTCTCTCACAATCTAAATATGACTTTAGGGGAAATCTCAATTCAGGAAGATGACATACTTTCAGTAGCAATAAAAAAGAAATCAACAGACAAATAAAGATCAAACAGATTGCTCCAATATTCAATTATTCAGAGAAGGTTCATTTTTTATCAGTAATCATGAGCACAGGTATCGTATCTCAGTGCAAGGAAGTGAAACAATACATTCCAGGCCTAATGCAGTAAGACTTTCAATTTATTAACAAGAGAACCTCCATCTAAAACAATGAGGCAAATACCAAAAGAAGAATCCAGCCAGGAAAAGAAAAACTGATTCTCCATGTATTATCCGCATTAAAGAGGAGGTAACGATATACAAAATAGAAGCGTAAGAAATTGGCAATACCAACAATACTATAAACAGAGAACCATACACTGGCACATGCCCGTATCATGGCAGTACCGTTGAAGCAAGATTCTCTATGGCAGTGTATAATCAAGCTGCTATGATTTAACAGTGTGCACACTGTACATGATGTATTCATCATAGTTAACATAGAAACAGAATGTGGCATGAAACCATGAGATCTAGTAATAATAAGAACATGTCCCCATAATGAAATTTAAACTTTTACAGTACACTCTGCAGTATACAAATCAGTACAATATGCGGCAGAAAAAGCAAGAACACTGTGAATTGATGAACTGCAGCATAATAAAACTCGAGGCAACTAAGAGATCATATTCAAGATGTCCAAACTGAAACAAACAGAGAATGGATTTTTTTATAAGCGATCTAAGCATCTAACATTATGTGAGGTCATGGAGTTTCCTTATCACATTATGCAAGTTGTGCTTTTCTCTTCATACTGATTAGTTAAGTCCTGTTATGTGATATGAGCTTTTTTTTATCAGATGGTTTGTGTTTTCTTCCTGTTTAACTCCCAAAAATGATGCAAAAACGATAGGAATATGTTGCGTTGTGTTTAAGGAACTACAAAGCTACACAGACACAACAACATATTACAACTAGAAGTCCAGCATAATGTCTTGCTTTTATAGAATGGTATAGAAACCAGAAATTCAGAATAGTGCCTACAATCACCAAAGATTCAAGGGGTAACTCCAGAAACCATGTACTCCCTCTGTCCCTGAAAGAATCAATTTCTGGAGTTGTCCTAAGTCAAACTTTTTAAACTTTGACCGAATTTACAGAAAACAACATCAAGACTTATGATATCAAACTAGTATCATTAGATGTATCATAGAATATATTTTCATAATATGCTCATTTCATGTCACAGATGTTATTATTCTTTTCTATAAAGTGAGTCAAACTTAAAAAGTTTGACTGGCACGGATTCTAGGAATTGATTTATTTGGGGACAGAAGGAGTAAAACAAGAACTGATGGGTTTCACATATCAATAGACAAGTTAAGTGTTCTTTTTGCAACTGAATAACATTTAGCACCACAGTTGATGACTTGATGCACAGTAACTTGATTACCACAACATTATAGAGTTCAATAATGTTTGAGTTTTCAGTTGGTGACTTGGTGATCAGTGTATCAATATAGGCCTCAAAGAGTAGTCAACAACACATTCCATCATGCCACAAAGCTAAATCATAGAACAGCTTAGCTGGAGGTAACTTGCAGGGCAAATCAGAACTTAGCGGAAAGAGAGTACCTTTTCCAGCAAGCAAAAGGAAATCATCAGACGAAGTCACCGAACAGATTTCTCCATTTTCATAAATAGTTCATCTTTTATTTAACTATCCATTACTCAGTGAGCTGAGGTGGTCTCTCCACCCTCAAAGCCAAGTCCATACAACACACCGGCATATTTCTCAGTTAACCCGTTGAAGTATGCCTCTTTAAGCTTCTTGAAGGACAGCGCTGTAAGAAGCGAATCAGACCCTGCCTGGTGGCAGATTCCAACCCTTGCGACGTCAAGCAGCTCAGCAAGCTTGTTCAGACCTCCATGGAGGCTATTGCAGAACCTCATCAAGTGTTTGATGTCGTAGATAACAGGAAAGTAAATCTTGATGAGATCGAAGAACCCTGACATTGTATCAGGCAGATTTGTGCCGGTGAGTAGCTTGAGCAGGTAGCCAAAGTCGTAGCCACTATGAAAAGTCACCCAGTGAACATCTGAATTCAATACTACACCGGAGGACATGAGCAGCTCAGCGAACCGGCGAGCGTCAGCTCCGTCAGCAGCATGGCGAGAGAAGTCAATACCACTACGACGCAGCAGATCGATGGAGTCTGATGCAGCCACATCGGTCCGAGGGTCAAAGCCTCGAAAGTTGAACTGCCACACGCAGGGCCGACCCTCTGTGCCGAGCGCCGGCAGCCCACCATGCTCGTCGGAGAAGGTGAGCCCGAGCTGAATAAGCTTCAACATGTCAACGTTCGCCTTGAGGGTGGCGTAGTTGAACTCGGCCGCCGTCTTGTAAGTGCCGAGCGGGCGGCACACAACGCCGGGGAACTCCGTATCCATGGCCACATAGGGATAGTCGTCGACGATGTCGCGGATCACGGCGAACTCTGCCTCGAGGTTGTCCGCCCAAACCTCGCGGATCTCTACATCTTCCGGCTTCTCCGCGGCAGGTGTCGCCATCGGTTCCGGCGCATCCAAGATTTGAGCTTTATTCTCCTCTCCTCTTCGGTCGCTGGAGCTCTTCTAGTTCTAGCAGCAAAGCCTAGGGTTCGCGTGGGCGAGCAGGAGCGGGAGCGGGAGCGAGGGCGGGGGGAGCAGGGGGGCAGTGGGACCACGGGTCAGCGGCGAGGGGTGGGGGCTCCCATGGGCGGGGTGGATGGGGGTGGCCGGGTGGGGAGGGATGGCGAGATCCGGCAAGAACAGGAGAGGGGAAATTCGGAGAAAGACGAAGAGCGCAGACTCGATGAATGGGGAAAGTGGGTGCCGTGCGCTGCCGGGCCACGATTGGTGCACGTGGCGGGACCCATACGTGGGACCCACGGGCATGATTGCCGCCAGTCACCTATAAACAGCAGGTGATAAACCGACCCATAAACCTAATGAAGCTGATTTATTATAAAAAAAATATTGTAGATTCTAGCTAATAAGTTGGGTGATAAGTTTAAGTAAATAAACTGTAATTATAAAACCATGCCGGTCAAATAGCCTGAATTTTAACTAATTTTATAATAAATAGTATTAATATTTATATCTCTAAATAAATTTATTATAAAAATATATTTTATAATTAATCTAATAGTATATATTTTGTCTCATGGATGTTAGTATTTTTTATATAATTTTAATCAAAGTTTAAATTTTTTTAGCTTCTCAAAATGTGAGAATTACATGACGGAGAGAGTAATAATACACAAAATCATACTTTTAATAGATAATTACATGTCTCTCTCCTATCATCCATTTATCCATCCTCTCATCTTCGCTCTTGTATAGACATAATTGCTTCTCTCTTTCTTAATTTGGTATCATATATCACTATTTTACTTAGGATGTGTTTGGTTGGAGAGCGAGACGTAGAATGGTCCATCCTAGGTTTTAAGAATGGAACGGTTCCACACTATGTTTGGTTAGAAGGATGGGGCGATTCTATTTCCGTGTTTGATTGAAGGGATGGGATGAATGGGATAACAGATTGTTAACCTCATTTATCTTGGGACCCACATGTCATACAAATGAGCTTCTTCCTCTTTCTTGGTTCTTCTTTCTCCGCAAGATTCACGCATAGCCACATATAGCTCACGGAAACTGGCCGCGCGGCACCGCAACCGCCCGGGGGCACAACCCCTGCCTCGCAACAACCTCGTCGGCCAAGCCCAGGCTACGCCAATCCCGACCTCGCCCACCGCTCCGGCTGCGTCGGCTCTGCTCACCCATGCATCCTTCCTCGCCGGTGTTGGATCCGTGCATCCTCTCCGGCTGCACCCGCTCTCAGCTACACCGACTCTGCCCGACCCTCGGTCGCCTAAGTCTTCTCCTCCGGCGGCGTCAGATCCGCATCCGCCCACCCCGTCCATGCTGGCTCCTTCCTCACCCCGGCCCTGTCGTGCTTTCGCGTGCGAGGAGACGGCGTGCCAACGCGTTCGATCAAATTTTTGGAGTGAGCTGGTGCAGCATCTTAGAGGAATATTCCTAGTTAGTGATGGCTCCATTCCTACGTCCACGAACCAAACACTCTGGGAACTAGGATGGAATGGCTCCATCCTGCCTCATCCCATATGAACTAAACGCATCCTTAGTTAACATGCGTTGCTAGAGCGTGTGCATGCACGATCTAGACTTTCAGCACGCACACCTCGTCGCACAACATTTTGTAGTCGCAAAAGAAACACAATAGCCACATCTTCCCCGACTCCGGCGCCCTTAGCCCCGCCACCGCCATGCTGCAGCGAGCTAGGCATTTCTTAGCGTAATCATCAAGTATGGAGTTTATAAGTCCATCCCTGGCAACGACGCAAGAAATGCTTATTGGCATTTCTTAGCGCAATCACCAAGTTTGTAGTCTGTCTTCACTCTATCCTTGGATGGAGACCATCTTCTCAATGAGTGTCGTAGCTCCGCTGACTGTGTGTGAGAAGAAGGCTCCTCCAGCAGCGACATCAATGTGTCCTCTTGACATGGAGGTTAACCCATTGTAGAAGTTCTAGAGGACTAGCCAATTCTCCATCCCATGGTGCGGGCAAGCAAAGATGTATTCTTGTAGCCTCTTCCACGCCTCGGGGATGGATTCCATAGTATTCTACTAGAAACTTGAAATTCTTCCCCTCAGGGCGTTGGTTTTGCCCATGGGGAAGAATTTCACGAGGGACACCGTGGATCATTTAGACCACGTGCTGACAACTTCCTTGTCCTTGTAAAACCACTGCTTCACCTTCCCCACGAGGGAGAAGGGAAACAGATGGAGCCTGATTATCTCTGGTGTGACATCCTTCATGATGACGGTGTCACACAGCTCTAGGAAGTGTTGGAGATGTGCATTGGCGTCCTTGCTAGGCAATCCATAGAATGGATTTGCCTGCACCATCATGATTAGGCCAGTCTTCAACTCAAAGTTTACATCGCCCATGTCAACAACGGGCCCAACGAGCACGTTGGCAACACTTACTCGTGCTGCGTCTTGTCGGCCATGGTGTTTGGTACAGATGATGCGGGGGTGACGGATTCGGTTGTCGGTGGAGTAGTGGAAGGAGGATCGACACGAGATCAGGCCTTCTTTAGGAATGACTCCAGATTCTCGATGAAGTTTGTCGGCAAGTCGAAACCGTCTTACACTATCCTATTTTCATCCACAACAGGAGAAAACAAGCAAAGTTATCCTGTTATGAACAATGGTTACTACACATGCATATTATCATGAACATGTCCTAATATATTCTTTTAACCAGTGCCTTCCCCGGCAACGGCGCCAGAAATGCTTGTTGGCATTTCTTTGCGCAATCACCAAGTATGGAGTTTTTAAGTCTATCCCTAGCAACGACGTCAGAAATACTTGTTGGCATTTCTTAGCGCAATCACCAAGTATGGAGTTTTTAAGTCTATCCCCGGCAATGGCGCTAGAAATGCTTGTTGGCGTTTCTTAGCGTCACCACTAGGATTGGTGTTTCCTAGCAATGGCACCAAAAATGCCGTGATGATATTTTTGAACACATGGAGAAATATTCCACAAGCGCACGGATATATCGTTGTAGCATTTCACCTGGAAGTATTCGGGTATCGTTCATTTATATTTTTCCAAAGAAAGGCATGGTATAAAAGTTTCTAGTAGGGACATGAACAAGATAACATGACTGTATAATAGACCAATGTTCATAATAGTGGTAAGATAGGATAGATTTTGGATAGTGTGACACACACACTTAAGCCAATCTCAAGGACAAAGATAAAAGAAAGTATAAAGGTGTACCTAGTGCAGAGAGCTCCCGCTCTATGCGGGGTCTGAGGAAGAGTGTCAGTGGCAAGTCTTATCCTCACCTGTGCAATGTGAGGAGACCGCGACTTGAACCCGGGACCTTCCGATCATAGGTGGTAAGACTCTACCGCTTGCACCAGGCCCAGGACAAAGATAAAAGAAAGTATAAAGAATAAAAGAATAAACCTAAACTGTAGTAGACATATCTTGTATAGCTATGCTAAGATGAGCAGATAGTCATACAAATACATGAATATCTAAGGGTAGCGATCCTAAGTTAAGATAGCTTTGGTCACTATAAACTTACTTTGGGCACTAGAGCGCACCTGATCTATCAAGCGATATCGGTATACGGCTCTACGCCGTATCCGAACGTGGGGGATTATGAAGGACAGACAGGGCTATCATCACCTGCCGCCTATCCCTCAACCGTGGGATACGAGGCAAACAAAGGTAACTTCTAACATAGACACCATGTCTACGCTATTGGTTACTACTCTAGCGGTGGCCAGAAACTTCCGTCTTTATCAGGAGTCCTGTTGCGAGAACATCGATCTGGCGACGATGAGTTAAGGCTTTGCGCTCGTCTATACCAACGCTGAGCTAGACGACATCGAGAAGGAGGTGGCCCACCTGGCACATGACCTTTCTACTAGGATAGAAGATGAAATCATCCCCCAGGGGTTAGTTTGGTGCACTTGTAATAAGCGGACAAGTTCTAATCCTTCTGTTTCGTCTAAACAAGCTTATTCTTTTGTTTCGTTTGTACAAATTTGTTCTTTCTCCCTTTTTATGTGTAAAAAGGATTAATGCATTCTGACCCTTCCTGTTGTTAAGACCGTAGAGCTCAAAAGATGGATAGGAAACTCTGGTCACGCTGGTAAGCAAGAGTGCCATAACCGCTGGGGCGTAGGTTTCTTGTAGTCCGACCAGTTTTACTCGACACTCGTTTCCGCAAACCTTGCCTCTAGGTTTTTAACGTGAGAAAGAGTCGGGCACGGTGACTATTTCAGAAAGGGTATATATATACCCTTATCAGCCCCCGAGTGAGACCCAACCCCTTGTCGTTGCCGGGGTCAGGTTTCACTAAAGATCGAGGAGATGATAGCAAAACTGGTAGGAGAAAGCATTTTTTTGTTTTAGAAACGTTATTCTTAGTTTTTATACATACCCCCTCCCTAGGATCTAAGCCATCATTCTAAAAGGTCCTAATGGCTAGAGGGGGGTGAATAGCCTAATAAAAATTTCTACAACAACACTTAATAAAATGGTTAGACAATTATGAGGCGATGCAAGAGTTGCACTAGCCTACTCAAAATGCAAGCCACCTACCATAATTCTAGTTTAGATAGTATCTATTCACACAATAGCTATGACACTACCCTATGTTAGTGTGCTCTCAAAGTCTAACTAAAGAGCCACACCAACCAAGCAAGCAAGCTCTCACAACTAACTACATTAAAGAGCTTGACAACTAGTTTGCGGTAATGCAAAGAGAGTGATCAAGAAAGTTATACCGCCGTGTAGATGAAGGAACCAATCAATCACAAGAGTGAATAACAATGAAGACCAATCACCTCGGAATCAAAGATGAACACAATGATTTTTTACCGAGGTTCACTTGCTTGCCAGCAAGCTACTCCTCGTTGTGGCGATTCACTCACTTGGAGGTTCACGCGCTAATTGACATCACACGCCAAACCCTCAATAGGGT